AGTTGAAGGATAAGCACTGTATGTAGTAAGGCTGTACAGTCTACTTGGAAAATAACCATGCAAGCATCGTTAGAGAAACTACAAACAGCGCAGTGTATAAGAATCATCACATTTATGGCTGCCTGCTGAAATGATTCTGTTTCCACCAAATCATGTGGCTAGGGTGGTACCAGTACCAACAGGAGAACCAGGTCAGAGCCGGGGATTCCTGGAAAGCCCTGTCCAGGTGGACTGAATTTGCTGTCAACTCCAGAGCCTTGTACCCATGTCCACAACAGAAGTGACACGTGATAGAAATTTGTAAAGGAGTTAAAATAGCAATTCACTCTTGAACTATAGCATGTAACAGGCTTGCATAGAGTAACAAACACAGAAAGATTTCTGTAAAGAAAAAGCAATTCCCAGTATGTCCTTCATCACCGCATCCCTCACATGGTCTGGCACATCTAACTAAATATATTAAGAATACTTCTTAGCATAGCAGGAATAAATCATACTTAATTGCTCTGTATAGTCAAGGTCAAGCACTGATATATTTAAGATGATTTGAGCAGTGCAGTGAGGAAGTGCAGGTACGTAGTAGCACTTCAGTCAGAAGCGGACAAAATATTTCTTGCAGAAAGCCAGACTCCAGCCTTTGTGTTTCCTGGCAGGAGCCAATTTATCTCTTCCACAACCTCCACAAAGCTGAGCAGCCTCTTGGAGGGGATCTGGTTTGGCAGAGCTTGAAGGGAAAGACAAAGACTGGTTTACAAACTGTGAAGAGCTGATAGCACTGAATTTTCCTGCTTGGGCAGCTATCACAGCCCTGGTGAGACAAAGCACAGCTGTAGCGTTGCCAGCCCTTAAAAATCACCACAGCCCAAGAGATTTGGCCTGTCCCCCTTGCATGCAGTGGCTGCAGGCACGAGCAGCCTTCTCCTGATGAGGTCTCTTTGGTATTTATTTCATCCTTTCTGTTTCTGGTCAGTTAAAATGTGTCCGTTCTGGCAGGGTTGGTGAAATGCAGAGCCTGGAGTCAGAAGGCAATCTGAGGATCAAAAAAGACAGACAAAACTTCATCTGGATTAAAAGAAGTCTCGATGAATTGCTAAGGAGAGGAGAGCGCCTGCTCTTTTCCTGCGTTGCTGTTGACTTTCAGCTCCTTGCGGGCAGAGCACCGAGAGCTGCAGCTAAAGCAGAGTGGGCAGCATGTCTTGGCCTCCTTGTGGCTTAGTGATTTAAAGGATGATGAACGACTGGCCTGTGCATGTGCTGGAACTGTGCGCTTCCTGCTTCCAAGAAGGACAACCCGACTCCATTTCGGTTTCAGACTCAGTTTTCCCGGGAAAGGAAGAGCCTTTTCCCTGACAAGGTTCCTATATTTTACCAGGGTATCTGTGTGCTGGTCTAAGGCAGCACACTTTGGGGGAAGCGTGGAAGTCAGTCCTGGGAAGAGCCAAAAACACATCCCAGAAGAGCAGCTCGTGTTGCTGATGTAGCTACAGTGCCTGAGAGGGGAACCCAAACTTTACGGTTCAGAGCTTGGGACTATGTCCTAGGAAACCAGTCGTGGGATCTACTGCAGTCTGCCACTAATTCAGCATATCCAGGATGCTCCTTAACCGCCTGCCCTCACAAAATGTAAAATGCGTAACCACTCATGGCTTAAAAATCAGCGTTGCACTCCAGACAAGTGAGACTGATGCAAATTGATGAACTTTCCTAGTGTTTCTAAACTTAGTCTCCTGAAAAAGGGCTAAACACACTTGGGCTCCATATCTCTTTGCTTTATTATAATGCTCTTTTAAAAGATGACACTGCAGTTCAAGTCCAGTACCACTCTACAGAACAATGAATAGTGTTCACTGAAATTGCCATTCCTGTGAATTTCACATAAAACACATTAGAAAAATTAAAGATACAGTATTCCACACTCACCACTGGCATGAAAATTAAGAGGGAGTTTTAAGAGATCATTCAAAGCCATTACAATAAAACTCTAATAATGGACAGAATAATGTTTTCTTGATTTCTGTTTAACTACCTCCTTGACAGGATTACTGGAATTTGATTTTGGCAGAGTAGGGCAAAAACTGAAATATCATGGTTGACTGCTATTCTCAAAGAGGACCACTGTATCTTTAAAAATATCGCGAATTCAACAACAAGGGTTTTACCTACACTTGTTAAGTTATTGCACAGATTATTACATGGAAAAATACATTATGAACCCATGGAATGTTACATAGCTTAGACTGAAAAAAGAAATAAAAGCAACAGCATTATCCTTGAAACCTCAACCATGAGGGAGAGTTGGCCAAGCCTTTCTTGAAATATAATTGTTATTAACAGGCTTCAAGAGAAAAATGAAACGTTTTAAAATAATCCCAAAAGTTTGGGGTTAGACTCAGCTCCTGGTCTGGGAACACTCACCAAGACTTTCTGTCCCTTGTAAGTGGCACTTAATTTGAACGTCTTGAAGTTTCTCTGATTTCAGCCTATTGGCAGGAATACAGCTGCTCTGTATCTTCCAAAACTGAAGCCATGCAAAGGAACAGAAACAAAGTCTGAAACACCAGGAAATTTAAATAACTGTTGCAATGTCCAGTTGTTCAGGTGTCCTTTGCATAAATTCTACCAAGCTGCTTTCCCCAAAGCAGAAACTTCCTAAGCATCTACTCTCCGATAAGAGTAAAAATAAAACAGAGGCTTTGCAATAGAAAATACCCTCTGTTCATCATCTCCTCTAGACAATATGGTAAATTATTCAGATTTAACTAAGTCACAGATGTTGATTCACCTGTCAAACTGAGAGCAGTCAGCATGTTGGCATTGCTCCTGCAGCTGTAGTTTCTGCTAGTTCTTATAGTACCTTTACTAACACCTTCTGTTACAGGAGTTGTAGTCTAGCTTTGTATCTCTACAGTCATGCACAGAAAAAATAGCTTTTCTGTCATCTTCTATTCAACTGGAAGGAGAAAAAAAGTCAAAATTCCAAATCTTCATCTTTGTAGGACTCTGATTTAGAACATACAGTTTCAAAAACAAAATAACAACAAAAAAACACCTGACAGAGAAATGGCTTATGCCATTTGTTGGTGCAAGTGATATACAAGTAAACCAGTTTTCTCCTAGGCAAGACACGCAGCTGAGGAGAACGTATGAAAACACATCACAGTATCAGTGATTCAAGGGAATGAAATAAAACTTAGCCCTCTAGGAGCTCCTGCTGGAGGTTTACGAAGGAGAAGCTGTAATAATTTTGCACGGAGGAAGCTGGATCAGCTTCATGTCACCTCAGAGGCCTCACGCTGGCACCTCCTGCATCACTCCATGAAGACCAACCAGCAGCCAAGGGCCTGGCAGGGCCGTGTCACACAAAATACAGTTTTGTGCCTGCCAAGAACATGCACTGCAGGTCTGCACTGGGGGAACAAACGAGAATAAGGCAACAGAAGAGTATGCATAAAGAGTTACATGTTTGACATGCAGCTAAGCTATGACAAAGGTCTATCTCGAACAGAAGAACACATGGAAAAAATGCCCTGTTTTATAGCCAGGATAAAGCTCTTTCCCAACAGTCCTACAAGCAGCCTGTAAAACTTCAGTCTCTCCTGCCTTTGTCTCTTCCGTAGGCTCGTGCGACCCGCCAGGATGCCAGACATCTGCTCATCTGGAAAGGGCCTTCCTGCCAGCCTTGTTCCTCAGGGTTCTCACATTCTCCGCCTGTTTTATCTAACTATTTTTTAATGTTTGTTTCGTTGCCAAGTTGCCAAGTAAGTGTCCAAAAGGCCATGAGCAGCAGAAAAAAAGACCTTTTTTTAGAATAGAAGGGTAGAAGGAAAAAAATAATACCAAATTAGACAGACTCTGCTAATACTCACATTGGGGGAGGAGTGCAGAAAAGGAAGGAGAGTATCACAACTTGACGTTACATGTGTACAAAACCTGCACTGTGTAAACTCTTATCCAAATGAGTAGGAAGGACAAGCAGAGCCATTCTAAATATCCCTTGATAGCTCACACTGTCAAGACAAGGAATTTATACAAGTAACTATCTAGCTCCAGATTCTTTATTAATCCTAAGTTTTAAAAGTCTTCACATCTCAAAGTTTAAAAACACATCTCTGATAAAAAGTATCTTAAAGAGCATTTTGAATTGCCAGACTTCATGTGGTGCCAGCAATCCATAAGGCATTTGAACTAGAACTATGCAACTGGAATTTGCTTATTTAATGGCTCTTTTTAAGATACACCCTCACCTTTGCTTGTATTAAACACTTCACATCATCTCATATCACATGGAGACGGAATGAAGACCTATAAAACTACACATGCAAGGTTGTGCCATGAAAATGTGCTTGCAGTTTTTATCCTGTGAACATCCCTGTCAAGAAAGTTACTGTACTCGGCTTCAATAGTTCCTAAGTTTTAAAAGTCTTCACATCTCAAAGTTTAAAAACACATCTCTGATAAAAAGTATCTTAAAGAGCATTTTGAATTGCCAGACTTCATGTGGTGCCAGCAATCCATAAGGCATTTGAATTAGAACTATGCAACTGGAATTTGCTTATTTTATGGCTCTTTTTAAGATACATCCTCTCCTTTGCTTGTATTAAACACTTCATCTCATATCACATGGAGATGGAACGAAGACCTATAAAACTACACATGCAAGGTTGTGCCATGAAAATGTGCTTGCAGTTTTTATCCTGTGAACATCCCTGTCAAGAAAGTTACTGTACTCGGCTTCAATAGTGCAAGGAGATTATATTTATCATTATCTTTAAAGATGGGAGAGTCATCTTCATGTAATAACAAGATTCAGACACTATTTTTTTCCTAAACTTGGACAGAAGAAAGGAGAACGAATGGGAAGGAAGCACAAAATTAACAGATCAGTTAAGGTCAACCAAGATAATCCAATTGTGTGTGAAACTGTCTCCCCTTGATCAGCCAGCATAACCTCCCTCCCCTAGCTGTGCAAAACAGGGTGAACAGAGAGAACACCACCAGTTCTACCAGTCATCCCACCGATCATCGGCTGCAGACGCCTTCTTCGCTGCCTTGGGAGGTTTTTTGGTCTTGCTCTCCCCTCCTGCGTTTTCCCAGTTGGTCTCCCAGTTTTCCCAGCTGTCGCTGTTACTGTTCTTGTTGTTGGAGACTGTTCCTGAACCCCATACGTCCCAGCTGTCGGAGCTCTTCTTCTCTGTGGAATTGTCCACGTACGTCCAGCTCTCGCTGCTTGGGGATTTATGAGCTTTCGGTGCATCTGAGTTGCCAAAGGTCTCCCAGAAGCTCTGGTCTACGGCGCTGTTCTGGTAGCCCTCCCCTCCACTGTTCTGGTAGCTGTGTCCCTCAGCTGGTCTTTTAGGAGGGAAGGAAAA